GTCAAGGACAGTATGAGCTCTCCCCTCTTCTCCATTATAGGCATATATCTGAGGAATGTGTGTGACTATCACAGTGAGTTGGAAAAGGCACATTCAATTAAACCATTAGTATAAGGCACCAGGGGCATAAAGGAATATTCTGTCCTTAGGCTAGCTTTGGTTAGTTGGCATTTGAGGAGACTTCATAAAATGAGGAAGCAAGATTATAATTTGAAGACATGCTGTAGGTAACTTGTCCTTGACAGGATGGCTCACCATTGGCAGGACAATAGAATTGTGGTTCTGAAGGCCTTTTTCTAGCCAGTCTTCTCCACATCCCAATTAGCTAACCTCTGTCCCTTCCCTGGACCTTCACTGTTTCATCCCTGGAAGGGACATAGGAGAGCAGAGGTCCACCTGAGTTTCCCATCATCAGTTTTTCTGAGTTCCTATGTCCAGATTTGGAGTGGATGAGGATTGTGTATCCCAGGTTAGTAATCTTTGGTCAGTCTTATCAATAAAGTGTCCAAGGTCAAAGTGATGGTCTGTCATTGTCTTCAGTGATGAATCCAGGAGATGACGACAACCACTTCCACAGCAGTTGGGGTGAGAATACTTGAGTAGGGTCCCTTCTAACAGATTCCAGGGTTCAGGAAGAGATCCTCTTTAGCCAAACCAAGTCTCCTGGGTGGAACTGGTAGGTGAGTTCAGAGGCAGGAGTTGGCAGGATTCCCTTTACAGTCTGGTCAATAGCCTGGCAAGCTTCCTGCAAAGTATGCAGGGATTTGAGAAGAAAGTTATTATATACTTCTGCCTGGAAAATCTCTCAGAGTATGGGGAGGGTAGAAGGTGTATCTGAAATACAATTTCAAAAGGAGAAAGCCCTTTCTGGTAAGGACCTCATCAGGCTCTGAGCCAAGCAAAGTGAAGGAGATTGGCCCATTTTTTGACAGTTTCCATGAGCAATTTGTTCAAAGTCTCCTTAAGACTTTTACTTGTTTGTTCTACCTGACCTAAGCTCTGTGGCCTATATTGACAATGTCATTTCCAACTATTTTATACCTGTTTTAGATTTTGAGATACTTTGGCCATGAAGGCCTGGCCATTATTGGATCCCAGAGCTAGGGGCAGTCCAAACTTAGTAATTATTTCCTGAAGAAGTTTCTTAGTAACTATTGGAGGAGTCTCTGTTTGAGTTGAGTAGATTTCCATCTATCCTGAAAAGGTGTCTTTAAACACTAGCAAACATTATAGCCAAAAAGAGTAGGCCTGAGTGTACTCAAGTACTCTCTACCAGCGTACTTAGGGCAAAGGCCTTTTAAAGGCAAAACCCAAGTCCTGTTTGGTCAGCAGCTGCAGGCAGTAGGTTTTGTGTAAGCAAGCAGTTTAACAGAAGCTAAGATAAATTAGCTGGGGAACCCTGTAAACCACCTGGTACAATCTGTTTACATAAAGTTCCCTGTAGTGGGTTTGACCTAATGTTACTTGTATTCTAATGCTAATTTGGCTCCCAGAAACTGCTTACTTTGAAGACCTGCGCAGAGGGGAGACCCTCACTCAAGTCTCAGAAAGTCTCGGCCACCCAATAATCTGCTCGAGACACCGTGTACCAGAGCAATTGCGAGGTTTATTAGGGATTGACAACTAGCTGCCGGTCAATTCGTATGCCCACGCAGAAGCTGAATTGACCCCGACAGCCAGTTTGAGATGGGTTTTTAAAGGGAAAAACCACAAACCAAGGAATGGGGAGGGGGTGAGGGGTTGCTAGGATGGTATAACATAAAAATAGTGGAACATTCCAAAGGAACCCAACCTATGTGAGTCAGGGTCAGGTGAAAACTCTCTGTACGCTTATCTTTCTTAAGAATGTGGTCCTGCCCTGTTACTTCAGCCTTGCCCTGTCACTGCGGTTCTCAGCTTGGTTCCCAGCTTGGTTCCACCTAGTTCACTTGCATTCTTTCCTTTCTCTTTGCAGATAGGCCAGTTCCAGTAATGGTGACTGGTCTTTCCACATTCCTAACTTGCTTCACACCTCGGTTTCTCCATGTCTTTATAAAGAAAGCCTAAAGAATATTTTATATGTCTAAAAAAGAATTCTATATACCCAGTATCTATAATTTTTCACTCTACAACTTGAGTATCTGAATGTAGCTTCTGGTAACCTGCCCCCACTTGGTTCTGATTGGTAAATCAAAATGCCAACAGCCTATAGTTTGAAAGACAGACAAATGGGATTTTGGAATTTCCCAGACTTGGGACCATGCTGGGAGAATGTGGAGGAGAGGAGAGACATCATGCCTGAGAAGAGTGTAGGACAGAGAGGAGTGGCCACCATGTGAAGGAGGTGGGGGAGTGTGGCCCAGGAATGTCATGGCCTGGAACACAGACTATTTCCCCTTGGACTGGTGACCCTTTCCCCTTTCTCCTTCATTTTCTGTGTGTAATTCTTTTCAGGCTGGCCAATCAGGTAAGGCTGTGAGATTAGACCTCAGCTAGTGAGCAAAGGATGCAAGCACTACTTGAGTTAGAATAAACACCAAGTGCACTTCCAGTCTCTGTGTTCTCTCTTTGGGTCACACCCTCTTGATCAAGAGCAAAGTCTACTTGTTTAGACACTTCTGTTGGAGTGACGGTCTCTTTCTTTGTTTGACACCTGATTTTTTTTCTAACATTGGGGACCGGTGGAGTTGCGAAGGTGGATGAATGTGATTAATGTCCGTTTTATGAACGTTCTCAAAGAATAAAAACATTAATAAAAACTTAAATCTTAAAATGAAAAAGAGAACAAAATAGAACAAACTAATTCTTAAGAATGTATCTAATTCCAAGTTCTCAGAATTCCCTATGTTCTCTGTCTAGACATAGATGCTTTCCTATGTTATGAAGGAGAGAGTTATAGAATAGAACATACATGTTTGGCCCTCAAAGAAGTCACATCATTATGGCTTAGAAGGCTCTGGAAGATAGGCAGATTCTGTTTCCAAGATGGAAGAAGTAATGGGGTTCTAAGGATCAAGTGTCCTGCTTGTCATATGCTTTCCATTTGACTAAACTTCAGAGGAACCAAGTTTCCAGTCTGGAATTTCAGACTTGAGTGAGGCAGGCTTTTTAAAGATCTAGTTTAATCCCTCACCCTCCAGATAGCAATTCACTGGACGCTTTCTGTTGAGATGCTCCCCACCTGTGCTCCAGTGTTTCCTGCTGGGTAATTTGCATATGAAAGTAGAACTTGATATGCAAACCAAGGCTTTAAAGGCATCAAGAGTCCTCTTTCCAAATGTCAAAGAAAGAAGCCCACATTCTGGACATTTCTACCTTGGCAACCTGCAGAGGCAGCTTGGCTAACTTCCAAAAGTGGTTCTCACCAGCGTTGTAAGCCACAGCAGTTTACATAGGCACACAAAACCAAAGACAAACAGGATCCAAGGGAAAAAAAGATGCTAAGATCTGGTAGATAAACACTGTGCACACACTGGATGCTTGTTACTTCAGTACAGATTCGGTTTTTTTGCTTTGTTTTGAGAGTCTATAATTACTGCTGTGGCTTATCAGCTTTGCATTTGGCTCACAAACACTTCCTTGTGCCAGCTCTTAACTCAATCTACAATCTACAGAACATCTGTGACGAGGTTACTGTGCCTGTCTCTCTGAAATGTCTCTCACAGGAATAATCCTCTCTGTTCAGCCTCATCTCTTAGTTCCCCAGGCGATAGGGAATTCCTAGCTCAGACTGCCAACTCGAGGTTTTACCACTGTCCCCTAGCTCTGGTACCATGTGCCACTCCATAACAAGCTTCCTTGGCTTTTCTCCAGGCAGTGAGGTGGATGCAGACACAGCAGGTATTGAAATCACGGAGACCCAGGTTCACATTTTACCTCGGCTTACTTGTCTTGAACTTTGGGGAAGGTTTGCCAGTTTTTGATGTGCTCATTTGTAAGTGTTAGAAAGAAGTTCAGGGTGACAAGAAAAGAGACCAAATTCACATTTTAGTGTCTGAACAAGGCAAACTTACTCCTGCTCAACAGGGTTTTCTCAGGAGTGGGAACGCACAAGGGCAGGAAGCGCAGTTGGAGATGGTGACTTTCTTTCCCATTGGCTGGGGCCTGACAGTTTAAAGATTAGCTGGTGTCAACCAAAGAGCATACCTCCGGCTGGACGGAGGCCCCTATGTATGTAGCACGTATGTAGCAGAGGGCTGCTGTGTCTGGCCTCAGTGGGAGAGGATGTGTCTAATCCTGCAGAGTGTTGATGCCCCAAGGTTGGTGGGGGGGACGGAGGTGGGAAGACCTCTCAGAAGCAGAGGGGAGGAACTCTGGGAGGGAGTAAGACCGGAGGCGGGCAGCATTTGGGATGCAATAAAATAAATTAATTAAAAAAAGTAATAGCTGGTGTAAAAAGAACTTTTGGGAAGGAAGAAAAGAAATCAGAATGGCCTTCGCCACTTAATTCACCTAAGCTCCCTAGCAGGGCCTTTGTCTAAAAGGCTTTACTGGGTGGGAAGGTGTTAATATATTTGCATTCAAGGTGCAGGAGATTAAAAGGAGTTGAATTATTTGTTGGAAAGACAAGAAACACAAGTTTTATAGTGTTTCAACGAAAATACTCACATTCGATTTGTTGTGTTGTTTTAACAGCAGGAACATTCCCCTGCTAGGGGCTTGCAGTGCGGATTTTTTTCAGGATCACCAGGTGATTGGGAGCACAACCCACTACCGTTTTCAGATCGCTACCAGGCCACTAGCATCTATTGGAGCAGGCATCGTTTCTCAGTCACTAGACACTCCTTTATTTCAAACCCCACACTGGTGCTTCGTTAACAATAAAAATTATAAGAAAACAAAATGAAAAAGCTCACATACTCGAGCCATGGGAATCCAAACCAGAACCCTACGATTTCAGCATGGCCCTTTAACACAGTGGCGGGACTCTGCTGCCTTAAAGGGTTCTGTGCACTTTGGAAACTGAAACTTAAAAAGACGGGGAAATCGAAACCAGAAAGAATCGGGGAAACTGAAACTGTTCTTTGTTTCTTTTCTCTCTCAGAATTGAGAAAGACAGCAAGCTGCTTACTAACCCAGGGCCTCAGCTTCCTCCTCTGAGAATGCTGTTCTCCGATGACTTCAGTACTTGGGAGCAGACATTTCAAGAACTGATCCAGGAGGAGAAGCCTGGGGCCAAGTGGACCCTGCATTTGGATAAGAACATTGTACCAGATGGTCCAGCCCTGGGATGGAGGCAGCACCAGCAGACAGTACTTGGCAGGTGAGTGGAGTCTCAAGGGCAGCTGGTCCCCTCAAAGACCCCACCAAGAGCAGAGGCTTAGCTGTGCTAGTGCAGCTTCTGACAATTTGTTAGAAAGAACAGGTGTGGCTAGCTAGATTTTCCTAGTCTTTTGTGGTCATGAAGCTAAGCTGGTCAGGGTCCCCTAAAATCCAAGCCCCCATGTTGATTTTTGTTTCTTTGTTTGTTTTGGTTGTTTTCCCAGACAGAGTTTCTTTGTGTGGCCCTGGCTGTCCTGGAACAGGACAGGGTGGACCAGGGTGGCCTCAAACTCAGAGAGCCACCTGCCTCTGCCTCCTGCTCATCTTGTTTAACTTAAAAAGTGTTTCCCTGTGCCAGGTCTCTTTACAAAAGCATTTCAGGAGACCTTGAAGAGTGATCCAAAGTTCCTATGAAGACCTCCGCAGAGGGGAGACCCTCACTCAAGTCTCAGAAAGTCGTGACCACCCAGTAATCTGCTCGAGAACACCATGTGCCAGAGCAAACTCGAGGTTTATTCGGGCATGTGACAACTAGCTGCCGGTCAATTCGTATGCCCATGCAGGAGCTGAATTGACCCCGACAGCCAGTTTGAGAGGGGTTTTTAAAGGGAAAAACCACAAGCCAAGGAATGGGGAGGGGGATGAGGGGTTGTTAAGGTGGCATAACATAAAAATAGCGGAACATTCCAAAGGAACCCAACCTACGTGAGTCGGGGTCATGTGAAAACTCTCTGTACGCTAATCTTTCTCAAGAATGTGGTCCTTCCCTGTCACTGTGGCCTTGTCCTGTCACTGTGGTTCTCAGCTAGGTTCCCAGCTTGGTTCTCAGCTTGGTTCCCAGCTGGCTAACTTGCATTCTAGCCAGTTCCCATAACTAGCCTGTCTACATTCTTAACTTGCTTCATGGCTCTGTTTCTCAGAAAATTTTCCATGTCCTTATAAAGAAAGCCTAAAGAATATTTTATATGTCTAAAAAGGATTCTATATACCCAGCATCTATAATTTTTCACTCTACACCTACAAAGTTTTCCCTCCTGCTCTCTCTTACTGTATCCTCAGTCAGAAAAGCCCTGGCTTTGTATCCAGATGCTCAGCCCTCCCATCAAGAGAAAACATAATAAAACACCTAAAGTGGAAAAATGGATTTATCTACAGTTTGGGTCCAGATGGGGGATGTGATTGTTCACAGTCTGTCTCTGCCTCTCTTATAGCACTATTATAATTCACGGAGAAGACAAGACATCTGTATGTTAGCAGAAATGTTGGAGTGCCCCACTGTAGTTGCCAGATGATACCAGGGAACACAAGGTTCCTTCTTTGGGTCCTTAATCTCCTCACTAAAAGGATTTTAGAGCGGACACTCAAATGGAAGTTTGAGGACAATTTTATTAGAGTTTAAAAGAAAAGTTCCAGCTTAGGTAAGCTGTAAAGCTCGGCAGCTGCCTGGAGGAGGAGAAGGGGCAAGAGGCCATACCCTAGGATTTAAGTTTCTATGGAGCTTCATGGTGTTAGACAGCCACACAGCAGAGACAAGACATGTAGAGGCCAAGGAAACAAGGCTGATGTCATGGAAAACATGCTTAGAGCAGAGGTTACATTTTTCTGAGCATTTGGTTTCAGACCAGGGATGTGGGACTGCTGTGCATATTTTACATATCAAAACAGACCTGGCCTCTAGTTTCTCCCAGCATCCCTCAGTCCCTACCTGACATACCTAGCCCTCAACCCTGAACTTTCTACCCCAGGGGCTGGGGTCCCTTCCTTCAGAGGCTCCTCCCTATATAATCCATACATTTTAGTCCCTCCTCCTCCTCCTCCTCCTCCTCCTCCTTCTCCTCCTACTCTTCCTCTCTCTCTCTCTCTCTCTCTCTCTCTCTCTCTCTCTCTCTCTCTGCCTACCCTTTCTCTCTTTCCCCTCTTCCCTCTCCCCTTTTTTCTCTCCTCAATCCTCTCTCCCCTGCCTCTCTCCTGACCCACCCTTCCTCTCTTTCTCTTCTCCCTCCCCCTCCCCATGGTGACTTTCCTGACCTTGGTCCCAGTTAACTTGCCCAAGAGCAGCTTCCCAATAAACCTGCCTTTAATATAATCTAATCCAGCTTGAATTGGCTCATTTCGCTGGCAGAGAAATAGCCTATCACTGATTAATTTAGAAACGTGAACAGACTTATAAAGCCAGGCAAGGAGAGTTGCTATGCTAGGTCAGATTAGGTCCTACCATAAGGAGCAGGAATCCTGGGAAGAAAAAATATAATATCATTTAAAGGATATTTCACCTATCTCCCTAGCACTGTTTAAGGTGAACTTTGTAGAGGTTGTCCTTCCTTCCTGAGGGGTGGTAAATTGGTCAGGTGCTTAGCCAGTCCCATTAGAATGTTAAATATCCACCCAGGCAATACATTTTATTCTCTTTTTTTTTTTATATATATTTCTTTTGATCTTTCCTCTGTGCTTTAGAATAGCTTTTGTTTCTTTTATTTTTTTTTATTTTTTTTTATTGGATGTTTTATTTACATTTCCTATGTTGTCCCCTTACCCCATCCCCCACCCACCCCGGAACCCCCAATCCCCTCACCCCTCCTCCTTCTTCTCTGTGGATGTAACCTCTATCTACCCTGCCCCCACTCCCACCTCCCCACCCTCAAAATTCCCACCCCCTGGGGCGTCCAGCCTTCATGAGGTCAAGGATCTCATCTTCCACCTGTGCCCAGCAGGGCCCTCCACTCTTACATATTCAGCTGAAGCCCTGGATCCCTCCCTAAGTGCTCCCAGGCTGGTGGTTTAGACCCTGGGAGCTGTGGTTGGTTGGTATTGTTGCTCTCCTCATGGTGCCACAAACCCTTTCAGCTCTCCTTCAGTCTTCACTCTAACTCCTCTATTGAGAAACCCATGATCAGTTCAATGGCTAGTTGTGAGCATCTGCCTCTGAATATGTCAGACTCTTGAAGACCTTTGAGGAGATATTCATATCAGGCTCTTATCAGCATCCACTTCCTGACTTCCACATCAGCATCTACCTTTGGTGACTGCACATGGGATGGATACTCAGGTGGAGTGGTCTTCAGACGGCCCCTCCTTCAGTTTCTGTCCCTCACTTTGTCTCCATATTTGTTCCCTTGAGTATTTTGTTGCTCCTTCTAAGAAGGACCGAATCACCCCCACTTTGTCTTCCTTCTTTATGGGCTTCATGTGGCCTGTGAGTTGCATCTTGGGCATTTCAAGGTTCTAGGCTAATATCCAATAATCAGTGAGTGAATACCATGTGTGTTCTTTTGTGATTGGCTTACTTCACTCAGGATGATAATTTCTAGTTCCATCCATTTACCTAGGAACCTCTTGAATTCATTGTTTTTAATAGCTGAGTAATACTCCATTGTGTAAATATACCACATTTTTTAAATCCATTCCTCAGTTGAAGGACATCTGGGTTCTTTCCAGCTCCTGGCTATTATAAATAAGGCTGCTATGAACATAGTTGAGCATATGTCCTTATTATATGTTCGAGCATCTTCTGGGTATATGCCTAGGAGTGGTATAGCTGGATCCTCGGATAATGCTATGTCCAATTTTCTGAGGAACCGCCAGATTGATTTCCAAAGTGGTTGCACCATCTTGCAGTCCCACCAACAATGGAGGAGTGTTCCTCTTTCTCCACACCCTCGCCAGCATCTACTATCACCTAAGTTTTTAATCTTAGCCATTCTGACTGGTGTGAGATGGAATCTCAGGGTTGTTTTGATTTGCATTTCCCTGATGACTAAGGATGCTGAACATTTCTTTAGGTGCTTCTCGGCCATTCGAGTTTCTTCCGTTGAAAATTCTTTGTTAAGCTCTATACCCCATTTTTTAATAGGGTAATTTGGTTGTCTGGAGTCTAATTTCTTGAGTTCTTTGTATATATTGGATATTAGCCCTCTATCAGATGAAGGATTGGTAAAGATCTTTTCCCAATTTGTTGGTTGTCGTTTTGTCCTATTGACAGTGTCCTTTGCCTTACAGAAACTCTTTAATTTTATGAAGTCCCATTTGTCAATTCTTGATCTTAGAGCATATGCCATTGGAGTTCTGTTCAGGAACTTTTCCCCTGTGCCCAAGTATTTGAGGGTCTTCCCCACCTTCTCTTCTATTAGTTTCAGTGTATCTGGTTTTATGTGGAGGTCCTTTATCCACTTAGACTTGAGCTTTGTACAAGGGGATAAGAATGGATCAATTTTCATTCTTCTACATGTTGTCCTCCAGTTGAACCAGCACCATTTGTTGAAAATGCTGTCCTTTTTCCACTGGACAGTTTTAGCTCCTTTGTCAAAGATCAAGTGACCATAGGAGTGTGGGTTCATTTCTGGGTCTTCAATTCTATTCCATTGATCTTCCTGCCTGTCTCTGTACCAATACCAGGTAGTTTTTATCACTATTGCTCTGTAGTACAGCTTGAGGTCAGGGATGGTGATTCCTCCAGAAGTTCTTTTATTGTTGAGAATAGTTTTCGCTATCCTGGGATTTTTGTTATTCCATATGAATTTGAGAATTTCCTTTTCTAACTCTGTGAAGAATTGAGTTGGGATTTTAATGGGGATTGCATTGAATCTGTAGATTGCTTTTGGCAAGATGGCCATTTTTATTATATTAATCCTGCCAATCCATGAGCATGGGAGATCTTTCCATCTTCTGAGATCTTCTTCAATTTCTTTCTTCAGAGACTTGAAGTTCTTGTCGTACAGGTCTTTCACTTGCTTGGTTAGATTCACACCAAGGTATTTTATATTATTTGCAACTATTATGAAGGGTGTCATTTCCCTAATGTCTTTTTCAGTCTGTTTATCTTTCATGTAGAGGAAGGCTACTGATTTGTTTGAGTGGATTTTATAACCAGCCACTTTGCTGAAGTTGTTTATCAGGTTTAGGAGTTCTCTGGTGGAAGTTTGGGGGTCACTTAAGTATACTATCATATCATCTGCAAATAGAGATATTTTGACTTCTTTCTTTCCTATTTGTATCCCTTTGACT